GTGTGAGTAGCGCGAAGAGGGGAGGGGGGGTGCTGGGGAGGGGGAGGGGGGGTGGCAGGGGCGCGTCGGGAAAGGGCTGTCCCCCGACGGGGAGCGCGTGGCTCGCCTCGCCAAGAGGCGAGGAGTGGTGGCGACGCGCATGTGCTGCCACCACCAACACGCAGGGCATACAGTGGTGACGGCCACAGTGGCAGCGGCGGCGGCGGCGGCGGCGGCGGCAGGATAGAGAGGCGACACTTGCACACAAGTGACCTGACAAAGGCCCCATCATTGTAGGCCAGCAGCCAGAGGCACAGGCCCATGGCAGAGGGGAGGCGACCTGGGGAGGGGGAGGCGCAGCAGGCAGCAGGGCTCACTGGACGACCGAGCTCCGGCATTGGCGCTGCTGATAGGGGGGGAAAGCGGGGACAAAAGAGGGGGGGAAAGAGAGGGAGGGGGAGGGGGGAGGGGGGGGGGCTGTACAGTGTGTGTGAAGGGGGAGGGGGATACGAAATACGGGAGAGTTGAAACGAGCCGGGGGCTAGGACAACTTCACGGACTTCTTATGGAGGGAGGCGGCATGGGTGCGTCACGATCAGCGGGCGGCGAGAAATAACAGTCGAAACCCCGAGGCGGGCGCAGGGCGCAGGGCACCGAGCACGGCCGAGGGCCGGTCGCGGCGCGTGCTCCCTCCCGCCCTCTCGCGGACGTGTGTGCGTGCGCGCATATCGGCCCAGGCACGCGCCCCCTCGACGGTGTGTGACTGCTGTCCTGCCGAGGCGGGCGCGGGGGGGGTGGGGGGCAAGGAGACGTGGACCCTGGGTGTGCGGCGCGCCCTGGGCCGGGGTGCGGGGGCCTGCGGCCTGGCCGCTGTCGCCCCGCCCCCCGCCCCCCCCGCCCCCCCCCTCCACCCCCCCTGGGCGGGTGTGTGCGTGCGTGCGCGCGGGAGCCGGTTTGGGGACCCGGGCACCCGGGGAGGGGGAATGTGACCGTCGGCTGAGAAACGGCCAGCTGGCGGAGTGCCGGCCCGGCCTGACTCCCGCCCCCGCCCCCGGCCCCCCGCACACAAAAGAAGGCCCGAGCCGCGAAGCGCCGGGTGCCGCCGCCACCCGGGGCTAAGCCGAGAGGGCTCAAGTGACTGTCTCTTGTCCCCGGGACTCGCCCCCCCCCCCGCCGGTTGCAAGTGTCTACTCTCCTGGCGCCCGGGGGCGCTTGCCTGGCTGGGCTCCCCGCCCTGGCGAGACTAGACTCAGCGGGGGGGGGGGGGCGGGGCGAGGGCACTCCACCTGCTGGCGTGTGGGCGTGTGCAGGTTCGACCGGTCACCATCCCACCCGTGTCTCCGGGTCAGTGCGCGCTGCCCGAAAGAAATTCAAATCCCTCACGCGATGCGCCGCGCCGCGGGGCCGGCGGGGGGACACAAGTGCCCGCGACCCTGGCCGGGGCCTTCCGGGGCAGGGACACGCAGGCGCCGCCGCAGGGTGCCGGGCCGGAGTGAAGCCAACTCCGGCGGGCGGCGAGCCTCGGGGGTGGGGGGGACAGTGGCGGGGGAACCGCCGTCCACGACACATCGGCTGGGGTCTGCGGGCCTGGTGGTGTCGCCGCCGCCGCCGCCGCCGCCGCCGGGTTGACTCCCTCCTCGGCCCCGGAGGACGCGGAAGCCCGGTCTCCCCTGGCGGCCGTCCGGCGGACGGGCCTGGGGGACGAACGCCGAGGGCCGCCACTTGGGCGGACGGCCGCACGGCGGGGGGGGGAGGCAGGCAGAGGGACGCGCGCCTCACGGCCGCGTCTGCCCAAGAGGCGGCAGGGAGCGGGTGGGGGGGGGGGGACCCGTGCGCGGGAAACAATAACACCGGTCGCGGAGGCCGGGCCGAGGGCGCCGCACGGGGAATCGACAGCCACCGTGGTGCTCTGACAGCATGCAGGCACACGGGCAGCGGGCGTACACAGGCGCGCTGACTGCCTCGGGGGGCGCCTCGCCCCACGGCCGGCCCCCACTCCCCCTCGGGCTGGAAACCTCGCGCCCCCCCCCTCGGGAGGCGCATTAGTCTTTAGCCGGGCGCTCGCGAGAACACCCCCAGCCCGGGGGGCGAGTGCCAGCGGGATGACAACAGGGCCGCGCGCCGCCCCATGGCCTGAGCGGGGCGAGGGGAGCCAGGCCCCCCCCCCTCCAGACACACACACACACGCAAGCCAGGTCAAAAGGGAAGACATTTGGCGCATATAATATTCTAGTCAACACATATACCGCGCGCCGTCTGTCTGGTTGACGGTCCGGAGGAAAGGGAGGGACGGCACCGGCCGCGCGGGGTTCAGGCCTCTCCCTCCCTGCCTGTCTCGCTCCCTCCCCTGGGTCCGGGGAGAGGCCGGCGGCCGTGGTGACTCCCTTCGCGGGCCTTCGTTGGGGGGCCATCCCCCGTGTGTGTGTGTGT